CTCCCCTTTACAAATTTTCCCCTTATAGTTATACAAACTTTCCCCTAACATTGTAACACAGTCGCCTCCTAACAAATTCGCCCCTAACAAAAGTTGCTCCCTCCTAACAAACTCGCCCCTCCGACTATACAGTTACACAGTTTCCCCCTAACAAACTCGCCCCAAGGCTCGCCCCCTAACAAATTCGCCCATAACCTTTCTGTAGTGGGACGTTTATTCAAAGTGGGAAAATTTTCAAGAGTTGCTCTCCTTGGTAATCCGAGGACAGCAATTTAATACTTTTTATAAGTGATAGACGAAGACGGTAAAGATAACTGTTTTTACTGTTCACTTTTTTATGTGGTAATTATTAAATATTTTTTGTGGACAAACATGGCTGAAAATGATCTATTTTGTTTTAAACTGAGGTTTGTCAATATTCTTTGTTTATTTTGATCCTCATGTAAATAGTCATTGTTTTTTATTTTTTCTTCCAGATCTGAAAATATCAAGGCTCTATGAATATCAAGAATATGGAACAAAATTCTGAAATTAAAGTTGAAATGGGTTAGTACAGTAGTAGTAGAAGTACTGTAGTATAATATAACATTTACTGTTTGTATAGTAAATCAGGCCATATACTAATACCCCATTGCGATCGATTGTACTGTAGCAATTGTGACACCCAATCGCAAAGTGAAATCGTGTGTGAATGCTCACCTAAGTAATCGATTTCGCAATTTTTACCCCTTGAAGTTGGGTGCTACAATCTTTATTACTCCCGGTTACCACAGAATCTGATCGCAACAAATCACAACAAATTGCACAGGTACTGTTTAGCTGAAGTCAGTCAACATACGCCTTGCCACCAGAGGCCTAGACCCTAGAATGTATTAAAGTTTGTTTGTGTTGGTCTGAATGCTTTTGTTGATGCGATTGGGAGTAATCAGTTTTGGATTACCACCGATTACATTGCAACCGATCACAACAGAGTGTGGTCTGAATTGGGTATTATTCTGTTTTTGTTATTTTCATCAATTTTTTTTTTATTTATACAAATTTTTTTGAAATTAACTTTCTGTACTGTAAGGCCACAAAACAGGTTTTTTCAATAACTAATTCAAAATACAGCTCACCAGTTTCTAATACTTAATTGATATTGAATTTTATAGATTATTTGTTTATTACAGTGTGGTGTACAGTAATATGCAAATTAATTATGAAAAATGAACACTTCAAAATTATCTTTCAGGCCATTACAATGATGTGTGCAGCAATGAAGAAAATAAAGACAGACCTAATGAAAAATGTTTGATATCAGAAGGAACAGGATTTTATGCTATGGAAAACTGTCGCTTAAATTTATCTCCTGGTCACAATAACACTATGGAAAAATATGAATGCAATGATCTTGAAAAACAGTTTGAAAAGTATGACAGTTCAAGGAAATACATGAAAAGGTATGAAGAGATGAAATATGAATGTGAACATTGTGGAGAGAATTTTAACTTGATTACTTTGAAAACACATTTGGGGATTAAAACAGAAGACGCACTATTACAACGTGGAATGGAAGTTGATCAAAGAAGCAAATTCAGAAGTCATTTGAACTTACATACGGAATTGCCGTCACATGAATGTGAACATTTTGAAAAGAATTTTAAAGACAGTATTAGTTTTAAATCACACATGAAAATACAAAAGCAAGAGACACAATATGATTGTGAAAAGAAATTAAAATACAGTAGAAGTTTGAAAAAACATTGGTGGATACATACAGGAGAGACAGTATATGAATGCAGTCAATGTGAAAAGAAATTCAGACAGAGTAGCACTTTGAAGTCACATATAAGGACACATACAGGAGAAAGACCATATGAATGTGAACATTGTGGAAAAAGGTTTAATAAAAGTGACACTTTGAGAAGACATTTAAGGATCCATACAGGAGAAAAGCCATATGAATGTGACAATTGTGGAATGAAGTTTAGTAGATTAGGTCAATTGAAAAGACATTTAAAGTTTCATACAGTAGAGACACTATATGAATGTGAATATTGTGGAAAGAAGTTTATTGAATTAGATCCTTTTGAGTCACATTTGTGAGGTCTCACCACGAAATGAGACGCATCGTTGGTGAAATCATATTGAGATATTCACCAAAATAGGTCAAAGGCAACATTTTTACAACATTTTGATTTTAATGTTTTTGAATAACTTGATACTTATATTTTATGATTGTGTACTTTTTAAGTGAATTTTCCTACTAAAAACAGTGTTCTCTTCGCATATTCTGTAATTCTAGTCCTATTATTTGTACAGGTTAGTTTATCTTTGAGGCCGATTTTCTCAAAACCTGGTTCTCATACACCTAATCTTTAAATGCTAACATCTCTGGATCTATTTATCCTAGGGAAGCCATTCAAAGACCAAATTAAACCTTATAATGTGGTCTACCAAAATGTAATATTAACTCATTTTTTGATTTTCTAACGATGAGACTCATTTTGTAGTGAGACCTCACATTTAAGGATCCATACAGGAGAAAGACCATATCAATGCGATCAATGTGAAAAGAAATTCAAGCAAATTGGCACTTTGAAGTCACATTCAAGGATACACACAAGAGAGACATCGCATGAATGTGAACATTGTGGAAAAAAATTCAAACACAGTAGTGATTTGAAAAAACATTTGATGATACACACAGGAGAAATGCCATATAAATGTGATCATTGTGAAAAGAAGTTTAGACAATTTGGTCATTTGAAATCGCATTTAAGGGTACATACCGGAGAAACACCGTATGAATGCGATCAATGTGAAAAGAAATTCAAAGAGAGTAGCAGTTTGAAGTCACATTTAAGGATACATACAGGAGAAAGACCTTATGAATGTGAACATTGTGGAAAAAAGTTCATTAAAAAGTATCACTTGAAAATACATTTAAGGATACATACAGGAGAAAAACCATTTGAATGTGAACATTGTGGAAAGAAATTTTATCAAAAAAGCAATTTGAAAACACATTTAATAATCCACACAGTGGAGACACCATATAAATGTGAATATTGTGAAAAGAAGTTTAATAGAATTAACTCTTTAAAGAGACATTTAAGGATACATACAGCATTGGACAATATATGAAAGTGAACATTTTAAAGGGAAGTTTAGTCTAGATAGCACTTTGAAAAAAAAAATTAAAGATACGTACAGGAGAGGACCATATGTGGCAAAGACAAGCCAAACCAGTCACTAGTCGCAAAAATCGATTTTGAGTTATTAATACAGTGTTAGAGAGTAAAATAATAGCTATAAAATGGTAAAAAAATCATTCAAATCCGACATTTCCTTATGAAGTTACAAGCGTTTAAACATAGAGCTGTTTAAAGAACAATATGAGAAATCAGCCTTCAAAGTTTATGATTTCAGGCATTTCTCATGCAGAAACGATCATTAAATCCTTAAAAAGTGTTGTTTTAACATTAAAAATGGGGAAAATAACAGCATAGAATGATGTATAGATATGTAAAGTTTAGTTTAGTGTAATAAAATAGATTTTTAAAAATTTGACATTCCAACATGTTTTGGCCATTTTCTCTGAAACACGATTTGCGACGAGTGACTGGTTTGGCTTGTCTTTGCCACATATTGTATGAATGAAAAATGCTTAGAAACAGTTTCAATTTGAAAAAAAAGATGTCTGAGTAGGATACATTAGAGAAAATATTAAAAATAGAGTAGTCAAAATGATGATGGTACATTAAGGAGAACATTGTAATTGGAACACAGAGATTTTAATGACAATAGTGTAATAATAATTAAAGAACACTTGATACTACACTGTTCTGTATGTAAATATTGCAGAAAGATTTTAATTTTGGTATAAATTTGAAGAAACATGAATGGTGTCTTGAAAACTTGAAATCTAGAAAACAAACTTAGATCTTTAGAATGACATACCATATTACAGTATTATATTTTGAGGGGTTTCACCCGTTTCATGTCTTCGTTTAATAGCATCACTCAAGATATATGTAGGCCTACAGTATATTTTTTAAGTAACCTCTGCTACCATGCATCAGCTCTGTACAACTATATGAACCATCTGTTATTTCATAAAAAATATACCCTTATTACTTATGCTAATTAATGTTTCAAGTATGCAAGAGATCAGTTTATAGAAGGTTAATTGCAGAATTAATAATTGCAAGGACAACCAAGATATTCATGTAGAAATAAATGTATTTATATCACTAATTTTTAGCTTTGTTATTTTTCTAAAGTAATGTGTTCTTCATTCACAACCATTTACATCCATCTTTCAATTGTAACTGCTGTGCTGTGGATAAAATGAATCTGGAAAACTGTTCAGTTCTTCAGAGCCATACAATTAGACAAAGTACAAAATGGACATGATACATAATGAGAATAAGTTGACTTTGGAACTAAGCAAGATAAATAAATATTGCATTACAAAATGCATGTTTTAATATACTGGTTTATACTGTTACTGTCCTGACAGGTTTAACCTTCCGACGTTTTCCAGATTTACGTGCACTCTTTGAGGTTATTGGAAAAGTTAGCAGACTGTCGGAAGAATTTATTGCTCTTTCCTTCATGATGTTGCTGTTGCTGATTTTTAGCCATATTTTTTAGTGAGAGTATAATCACAAGTGACAGAGAACTTCTTTCGGGAAATGAAAAATATATTTATTTCTTCTCGAAAATTTAATCGTCCCTGCCACCTTCTTTACTGTGATATCTTGCATAGTTTGACATATTAATTAGCATAAACACAAAGTGTGTACCTTGATAAAATAATAGTAATGGTTTATGTAGTTCAAGGCTGATGTATATGTCCATAACCTATATGCGGTACTGTACCGTTAGGCCTACAGTGGTTCAAGAAGCAATCGACTAATTTATCTACATACAATGATAATAAAATAAGCGGTACTGAAGTGAGTAGATATTTCATGAAATGTGTTATAAAAATAATGTGATAAATAAATATATTTTTTAATCTTGAATCTATTTGTTTATATTTTGTTGTCTTTTTTTTTAATTTATTTTTTTTAAATAAAAAAAAAAAAAAAATCTAATTATGGACTTCGGATAAATTGATCATCCTGAATCCATATATTTTACATTAATGCAATCTCCTTTACTTAATTGTTGTACTCTGAAATATATATTATTAAAAACAACAAACAAAACCCCTAATAACTAACAAAATAAATTCTGAACTTCCGTGGGAGTCACACCAACCATTATTTCAATCTTATTTTGTAAGAACTGTATATATTATAGATAATTTAAATAGATAAGGACTATTACATTACAATATAATAATATTTATGTGGTTATGATAACAATAATAAATAGTACAATTTTGTATTACTGTACTTACTATAACATTATAAAGTAGTAATTTTAACAACAAATACTACAGTATTTTAAAGTGTATTAGCCTTTATGTGGTGTGCCTTGAATATTTAAAATAATAGTCTCTCAATGAAATGTAATGTACATAGTGTAGCCTAGGCCTGCTTAAAAGATCATGGTTTTACGCGTTTCTGCAGACGTCAATGCGTTAGAGATACTCAATGTCAACGCATTACCTTGAAGCACGGCAGCAAAATCTGTTTTTAAAAAATAGGCAATTTTTACCATAATTCGGACAACTATCACTATAAAAGTTGGTTTTTATTATCAAGCCGTTTTCTACTCTCGTGTGGTAATATTTTAATTATTTTTGCATTTGTGTGGTCCCTTGTGGTGTCCATTGTTCCAAGTGATATTTAGTAGGACCGATATTTTATTATGTTTTATTGTCACGATAAACTAGACTAAATACATTATGATTGGTTACTTTAAGTGTTGAGAGAATGTCAGCAATCATTTCTGGACGAAATTCAACATTACTCAATGTCCGTCCGGGGCGAGAGAATTTGCTGGCTTCAACAACACTGTGCCAAGCAAGTTTAAATTTAGATTATTGAGTACAATAATTGCTAGAGAAATACTAATCGTGCAGCTGTTTTTTTTAGATCCTCCTATTAATACATGAATTTATAACCCCCTTCGAACATAGCCACAAGTATATCTCCGACACTTTTCAAGTCAAATTAGTAAATTATGACAATAATTATTTGAAAAAGAAGAAGAAAAAAAAAAAGAAGCAGACATGGATAATTGTGTTAAATGAAATTGCAGGGGGTTCCCCCCGCACCCTTTTGTTTCTAGATGTTCAGCAGATGTACTTTCCTGCATTCTGCTGGTTGTTACAAATGGACCTTTTGAATACATTGTGGGTTGAGTCACGTGTACAGTTTGGGGCGAATTTCGGACGCTCTGTTTATAATAATGTTTTTGAGAGCCTTGCACTCCCTTTATACATACAATAGTCAACGGTTCATCCTTCACAATCGTCAAGTAAAATTATGAAAATCAATTCGATTTAGAGACGAATCAGCAAGAAGCCCGTACGAGTTAAATCACTAGGGTAGGAATCACTAATAATTTAAATGCACTTTGTGCGTGCCATACCCATCACTAAACTACCCCAAAGAGTATAAATAGAACAAGAGAGCAAAGTCCCGTTCGTAAAAACGTCATGCCTGTGTAGGACGCCAACTAACGGTTGTATATTCTTTTTATTACCCAGTGCAGCGCTGCGCAGCGCGGTAGAAGTACGCCCGCTATAAACTCAGTAAGCAGAAAACAAAAGTACAGTATCTTGTGGAGAACAGATAAACAGACAAACCTACCGTGTGCGGTGCAGTACCGGGTAATAAAACATATACAAGCGTTAGTTGGCGTCCTACACTAGCTGCGTAGAGCGTATCGTTTTTTTACGCTCCCAATGAGCGTTGTTGGCTCTCTTGTTCTATTTATACTCTTTGACTACCCACAGTACAGTACTATTGAAGATAGCTAGGCTACCGTCAGCACTGTGAGTGATCTAAAATTCTTTTGAAATTTCTGTATTTGATTACAATTACATAATTAATAATTATTAATATTGGTCTACTAGCGTAGGCCCTATACATCATCAAAATGTTTCAGTGTATATGATCACTGGATGATTCTTGTAAAGAATGAGGCCTGCCTAGGCTACGGCCGAGCTAGATGGATCCTCCATCCATGCAATTAGAAACCTTTATTTAATATTACAATGTACAATGCTGCTAACTAAGGGGTCTGGCTAAGCCTACAGCCAGCAGTAGTTTGAATAAAGCGGTTAGGCTACAGGGTATGCTAGCAGCTACGTATATCAGATATTTGGTTCCAGTTCGATTTCTGTTCGAAAATGGATTTTATTGGCTTTTAAAAAAATAAATTTTGGTGCGCTGAATCCATAAAATTTTGGTGCCATTTAAATTTGATCCATTTCAATTCATAATAGTTGCTGTTGTGCAAGTCCCAGCCATGCCATTGGCAATGCGAAGCATCATTTTAATATAGGTCTACATAGCAGGCAAAGTCCCCGCAACCTAGCATGGGGAAATGTTTAATATTGTTCGGATAAAATTCCCCACTATTATAAATGATGTGATGAAGAGGCCTTGCAAACTTACAGAGAGTGATACACAAAAAAATATGAAGGTCTAGAGGTTTACAGAACTCTGTTTTGCTTGTTTTGATCTAATGCAGTATACATTAAATTGTTATTTTTTTATTCCAGGTCTGAAAATATCCAGATATATCAATAATTGTCTTTAAAAGAATTAGCAGGCTATGGCAGAATTTGAAAAAATAGTGCAACTGAATATGGAACAGAATTCTGAAATTCAATTTGAAATAGGTTTGTAATTTATAACATTGTTCCTTTAATATGGATTGAATGAGAACATAATACATTTTTTGTTTTATTTAATATTATTTATTTTATTGCAATTAACAAAATTAATAAACCAATACATTTCTTTATTAAAGAATGGCTTCAGTATTAATTGCTGTACATAATCCAACTACAGTACATTACAGGCTGAGTTCTGTACATTATGGATTTAATCAGACCATAAATATAAATATAATTTGAAACATTTTAGAAAATAATGAATTTATGAACATTTATAAATGTTAGTCTTAGTGTGTTTTGTCTTAAAGTAATTCAATTTTAAATTTAATTTCTGTTATTGCTACAGGTGCCATCTAGGGCCAATATTCACACAAACACAGTGAAACAAAAAAATAAAAAAACAATACAATGGTAGCTCTGCCTCACATGGATATTACTCTACTAAAGTAGAAATGACCTGCATACCCCAATCCTAATCAAGCTATGCATCATAGGCCGTAG